AATGTACTTTTGTTTATCAGATTTAATATGATTGTTAAATTTCTATTAATATATACATTAGACAATTATACTATCATGTATGCTTTTCATATACACATATTTTCTATCTATTCATATATCTATATTCATATATATGTTTAGTAACTGTGAACATATATATGTAAAATCGAGAAAATTAACTGACTGTTATATACGTAAGAAATATTGATAAGTTGTATCAAATGGTTGATGATGAAAAAGAAATTATGAGTAGAGAAATAACATATTCAAGGTTAGAAAAATGTTTTAATATACCAAAGTATCAACCCAACCAACCTGAATAACCCGTACGGGTTGGGTTGGGTTGCACTTTGATTTGGGTTGGGTTGGGTTAAGATTTTTCCAAACCGTAAACATTGGATTGGGTTGTTCAAATGTGTTCAACCTGATCAATCCAATCTATGAGCACCCCTAATGTGAACCCAATCATATAATATATATATATATATATATATATATATATATATATATATATATATAGGGTTGGGTTCACGTGAGACCAACNCCCAATCATATAATATATATATATATATATATATATATATATATATATATATATATATAGGGTTGGGTTCACGTGAGACCAACGGTTTTTTGTGAGACCCTTAAGACCAATTTATGTTCATTGATCAACTTTATAAGCTAATGATCTAACGGACTAAAGTTGTACGGTGACAATTTTGTGATTATTGAGAAGTCTCGTGACGTTTATAAATGTTCAAATTGTCAGATTGTAGATCTAATCCAAGGGTTGAGAATTGGTCTTACGGGTCTCACGAAAAATCTTTGGTCTCACATGATCAAGTCTATATATATATATATATATATATATATATGGTAGAAGATTCGAGCGTTATGAGTTTGGGGGTATGATGAGATATGAAGTGATAAAGTCTGGAGCCATCGAAATCACTTTATGATTCAGAATGAGCATTAAGTCACGTCTTTTTGGCTTTCATTATCCATGCTATGTGAACGACCATGCAGTGTGCTCGTCGTCGTGATAACACTTGGTCCGACTTGCTATATCCCATATTTATGGTGTGGGACCCATCTTTTTCATATATATAAATACACCTAACCACACCATTAACTTTTTAAACCATAAATACACCTAACCCAGATCATTAACTTTCCACATAAAGTCGATCTCAACAAATCAACACATTAATTTTGTGTCACAGAGAACAAGTCAACTTTGTATTGCTTCCTCTAACTTATATATACCTAACAGGTTATTTGACAGTTGTTGAATGATTTGATACAAAATAATTAAGAAACTTTCATGATATAATACAACATGAAATATAATTATTTAGTAATTATTTATAATAAAATTAGGACGTTGGAATACACATGATATAAAATCATTCATAAGGTTTTAGAAAAATTTAGAGGTAGATTTTTTTTTTTGTCAAACAAAATTCATCTTTTAACGATTCAGATACTACCTTTTAGTGAAACTATTTAAGAGTAAAAAAAACAACCCATGATTTTACAAAAACATGGTAAAAGAAAAAGTTATTTAATAAATATCGAGGTAAAAGAAAGTCATAGTTTGTTCGTATTGAGTCTCTTAAAAAATTTGTCATTAAAATGACATCGTATGTAATATTTTTCATCCGATAAGCGCTTACCGGGTAAGAGTCGTCATTCTCACTTACCATGTAAGATTATCGATATTTGTCATTGTTCTTATCAGATAAGATTCTTAATCATTGTCATGGTCATTCGACAAGGTAAATTGACACAATAAACACTTACGGATAAACACTTAATAAACGAGAAGATTTGGTAAGATTTGGTAAACAGCCTCTTAGTCTTACGAACGAGAATAACAATTAATTAAAAATCATAAAGACATAATTTGCTCTTTTTATTTTTTGTTCACTTTAATTTTGACACTTGTCATGAAATCATAGCGGTCTTACTCCTCCCATTTGATTCTTATTCTCTTCCCGATTCATTTAATTTTTGGTATTTCAAAGTTTATTAAGTTGGTGTCGAGATATTTGCATTTGGTACCGTGGACAGAATATGGATTATGTTTCATATTTGGCATGACTTTTATGTGTAACAGACAAAAATATAATAAAACATGTCTGTTTTATTCCTGCCCCATGGACCAGGATGGAATAAGTTGAAATAAACTTATATTTTACTAATAACCTCAAAATAAAACTTAATTATCGTTTAAAACGTCAAATGGATCTCATTTTTACATTTTATTCATTTTTAAACTTTTATTTATTGTATTTGGTATTTTTAAAATTTTTATTTTATTGTTCTCAAAATATTATTTTTATACGGTTTCTGTATTTTTTATTAATTTATGTACTTTATTATATATTAACAATAAATAAATAATCTAGATTAGGGATAATATAAAATTGGAAACTACATAATTTTTTTTATTTTCGTTTATTTTAGTTATTTCGACGAAAACTTTTTAATGGTATATTTTATTATAAATTATATAAATTAATCAAAATATATAAACAACTTCATTACGGTTAAATTGGTTATTTTACTTGTTCTGTTCTATCTAGTTCAGGCTGATTAGACACTGAACAACTGTTCTCTCCTACTATGTATTGTTATGTCTCGTCCTATCATGTTTGGACACCAAACACACCTTAAGAGCTATATAATTTTTAAAATCCTAGAGATTTAAAATAGAGAAGAAAAAGATAGACAATAGAGAAATCTTCATATTAGAGAAAATATAGCATGCATATTGAAAATGCTTTGAAATCATGAAATTTGGGTCATGTACAAAACGCTTAGTTAGAAAAAAAAAATGGTCATTTATAAAAACGCTTATCCGGTAAGCGTTTACCAAGTCACATTACTTTATAGGATGAATATGACAATGACTGAGAATCACGACTCTTACCCAGTTATGGTTTACCGAGTAAATTTTTGTATACGATGTTGTCTTGATGGACTAAAATCTTACCCGCTAAGACAAATGATGGTGTTGAATCATACCAGTGAACAACTAAATTATTAAATCCACCATTAATTAATGCACAAATATTTAAATTGTAAATATATAATTTAAAAAGGGTAAAGTTGTCATTAATTTTACTAAAAAAATGTAATTATTATCCATGTTTGAAATTGTGTGTTATTTCTGTTAAGGACCCTTTTTTTAGATAAAAGAGAACCATCTTCATAGATTCTCCAAAATTGAGAACTGAAAGTCAAAATTCTCCAATAGACTTTTAGATGCATCTCCAACAGCTTCTCCATTTTAGAGATAAAATATTAATTATATTATAATTCATAAATTATTTTTTTACTGTTAAACATTTAATTTCAAATATTCTTTAAATTTAGATAACTTATTCTTTCTCTCTCTCTCTCTCTCTCTCTCTCTCTCTCTCTCTCTCTCTCTCTCTCCAAGTTGCTACATTTTGGAGAAGGTTTTGTAGAATATGTTGAAATAAAAAACTTAAAAAAATTCATTCGTGGATTGGGCTTAAAATATCTATACTATATTATAAAACATTTGACAAAAACTCTTAAAAATAATTTTTTATGCATGAAGTACTGTATATTGATGCATATTACTTAAAATTAAAGACTACAAGTAAATTATGCATAAGTACAACTTATTAAAGCTCCATGTTTGAATTCGTGTAACTAGATGCGGATAAACATAATTAAATAGAGGATAAAATCTTATTTTAAAATATAAAAAATCTAAAATATAATTAGGATAATTATTGAGTTTTAACAAAATAATTAATTATTATCTTTATAAAAAAATTATATTATTAAACTAAATATAAATTACTTCATTATTGAACCTAAATTAAAAATACAAACTTTAAATAGTTAATTTGATACAAATATCAATATATTTTTGTCAATTTCTTATGATATTTTTAAATTTACATTTTAATCAGATTTAAAAACACCATCGCTTTTTCAAAATGATATAACATCATACTATAACATCAACTGAGATAAATAATAAAATAAAATATTAAAATTAAAATGTATCTCACTGGATTGTATAAGTACCCTTTTAGTTAAATTATAATGTTTGAAGATCTAAAGTTATAAACCATCATTTGTGGATTGGGCCTTTTTGGGCCTACATCCCATTAATAAAATGAGATAATCAGGCTTTCAGAAAACAAAATCGGAACTGGTTTTTTTTCTTTTTCCCTTTTTTTCAATTTTTGGTTTAATTAAATTCAATCAGATAACTCTTACCATGGTTAGCGTTTATTAGGATAAATTGTTGCATACGATGCGTTTTAGTGAATAAAATCTTACCCGGTAAGTAAGTGATAGTATTGAATTTTACCGGTTAGTGCTTACCGGGTAAGTGTTTAGGTAAACGACCCATAAACCTACATATACGTTCACTGACCTTCACATACATCCACATTAAACCAAATCATACGAGGACCATAAGCGGAACCACCAAAAGACGAAAGCAACCCTCATTTACAAAAACGCAAACGATGAGCTCCCTTGGATCAAAAGAGATCTACGACTCCGAAGAGGTTCTCATGGAAGTTCTCTCTGAAACCCAACTATGACATCTAAATCTACTATTGTCATGCCCCCTCCTTTCATATATTACCGATTGTATACCATCACTGATAAACACCAGAATAAATGATATTCACCGGACCAAGAGCACCCCTCGAGTAATACCGAATGTCACGTAATAAATGACTTGCATTTAAAAGGGTAAATAATCTATACTCCTATAATGTATATTATAAATATAAATATATAATATCATAGAAACTAAGAATAATAAAGATTCATATGTGAATTGTTAAAAAATTCATTTAAAAATACAACTCATACATTGGATACATAACATCAATTCACATATGAATTTTCAAATAAAAAATTTCATATATTTTCAACGATCCACGTACCCTTAATCAGGGGAGTTGTACAAAAACTACGTCGTTTAGTATAAACATTTGTTATGAACTGAAACTCATAGAAAGCTTATCCCCTGTTCTTGCTGGAACAGATTTACACCTGCTCAAATTCAATGGTTTTGCTTTAAATTCTTCAACTCCATTAATGGAGCCTTCATCTTCTCCATTTTCTACCTCAATTTTTACATTAATTGATTCAGTTTCTTCTTCAATTCCTGTATTTTCTGGCAATCTCCTCCCTGTTGTCTCCATCGTTACGTCCCAATTTTTGCTTGCAAAAGATGAAGATCTATACGGAGCAGACCTAGATCTCGTCAACAAAAAAGCATTTCTAGGTGGAGATTCCGAAATCAAGACCTTGTTATCATCAGCTACAATTACATCTTGGATTTCTCGTTTTCGGTGCTCGTTTTTCTGATTACCTTCGATCTGTTCCGATTCCTGTAATTTTCTCGATTTTCCGCCATATTCACATCGGAGAAACGAGAGACTTCTTCTCCAAACGCGTCGGAAACACTCTGGTTGGAGTTTTCGAAACCATTGACAGCGGCGGAAGGCGGTGGTTGTTTGCTTCTTGTTGGAACGTCTGGCTCGGACTTGGCCGATGCACGTGACTTTGGGGGACGATGGCTCTTGAGTAGTGTCGTTAGCAGCGTTGATTTTACGAATAAACATAGGGTTAGCACGTGACCTGCTTCCTCTACTGCTTTTGCTTCTTGGAAATCTCATCATCAATGGCGGTGGGAACTCGTCTGTTCTTCCTGGACTGGATATTGGTTTAGCAAATACCTTCATCTTCTTCAACAACCAGAGGTTAGTAGTATGCGTTAATTATAAGTTTTCTTTTGAAGAGATTTAGAACGCTAATGGTGTATTTATAGCTTCATGGTGCGTATCAAATCATCAATGGCGGTGGTGGGTGGTGTTTGGAGGTGGTTTGATGGTTAACGTGGATGACGTTTCGTTGTCTATATGTTATTTCTGGTCATTTCTTTTGTTGCCGTTTTATTACGTCACTTTTTGGTCTTTCCTAGTTTTCTTTTTTCATGTAAAGTGAAGAGTAAATTACATTTCTGGTCCCTGTGTTTTGTTAGTTTTCCTACTACAGTCCCTCAAACGTATTAATTACACTGCCTGTTCCTAGGGGTGCTCAAAAACCCGACTAACCCAACCCAATCCAACGTGAAATAACCCAACCCGAAGCAACCCGATATCTAATCGAATTGTAAAATTGTCAAACCGTAGGTATTGGTTTGATATTGGATTACTATTATTTGAACTCAACCCAACCCGACGAACCCGATATTCTTTTATTTATTGGATTTAATATGATTGTTGAATTTCTATTAATATATACATTAGACAATTGCACTATCATGTATGCTTTTCATATATACATATTTTCAATCTATTCATATCTCTATATAACTCATTCAGTAACTGTAAACATATATATGTAAATTGAGAAAATTAACTTAATGTGATATACGTAAGAAATATGAATAAGTTGTATCAAATAGTTGATAATAAAAAATAAATTATGAGTAGAAAAATAACATATTTAAGGTTAGAATAATATTTTAATATACTAAAGTATCAACTCGACCAACCCGTACGGGTTGGGTTGGGTTGCATTTTGGTTTGGGTTGGGTTGAGTTAAGATTTTTCCAAACCACAAGCATTGGTTTGGGTTGTTCATATGTCCTTAACCCGAGCAACCCAACCCATGAACACTCTTACATGTTCCTGTGATATGCAAAAACCATGCTCTGAGTCTAACGGAATTTGTTGACGTAGTTAACTCAACTCTAGGGACATTTTTCGTCTTTTATCTATTTTTTCTTTAAAATAGATAAGCAAAAGTCAAAATCTCTATAAAACAATTACTAATTGTGTATCCGTGCAATGCGGCGGGAGCCGTGAATTTTAATGATTTGAAGTTTCACTGGTTTTATTATAGAAGATTTAACAATGATATAAGTTACACTTAGTCTTTACATATTAATACAATTTGAATAAATAAGAATTATGGTTCCAATTACAGTCTATCGATGAAAAAAATTGTATGACGGTTTACAATCCAACATATTTAAACGAATTTACAAATGTGTTCGATTTACACCAAGAACAAAGAATCAAGAGATCGAAAACGAGACCGAGAGTTCTAGAGCAATTGAATGAGATAACTTTTAATAACTCATGGTGAATATTAGTTTGAATCTCACCTTAGGGGATGAGAAGAAGACATAGAGGTATGAGAGGATGAAGACATGAGTGAAAGGTGTCAAAAGTATCTTGAGAACATGAAAAGAAAAAATAATAATGTGCATTGGTAACTTGTACCATATGCTATTTTAATTGCAGATTAAGATATTTTAATACTGAATGAATAAAGTAGTGGTACTTAATGCATTATGACTTATTTTTAAGACTCTGTGCATTAAAAATTATTTTTAAGACTTTTGATAAATCTGGTTTATAAGATAGTATATATAATTAACACCAACTTATTCTTTATTTTAGAGATTTTGACATTCAATATATTATTAAAATATTCTATTAATTTACCATCTCGGTGCATTTTTTTAAAATAATTTATTTAAAATAATAATAACAATTCAATCTCATTGGTGAAAATTAATTAAACAATTATAATTTCTATCTCCAGTCATCATGTTTTAAAACAATATAGAGAAGATGTTGAAGTAAAATAGGCTTATTTTTCATTTTAAAGAATCTAATGGAGATACAATAAATGTGTAGAATTTTATCCAAGTGTCGTTAAAACAATTATCTTAGATACAAAAAATAAACTTGAGAACAACTTAAAACGAAATCAAAATCACCCAACTTTAATAAATAACTCCTTGTTACAACAAATTAATCACACTTGAAATGAACAAATTGCATCTAAAGAGATTTTCGTTCTATCGTCATTTTTTATGAACACGTTTTCAAGAAAATGAATTTGAGAGTCTGTAATTTAAAAAAAAAACATTTGGTTGAGGATCTGTATCAACGTATCTTTTGAAAATATGTTTAGGCACGGCAACGGGATGGGGATGGACGGGTTTTGTAATTCCTAGCACCGTCCTCGGTCAAATCCCATGAAGAATATCCGTTAGTTTGAGTCTACCGGGGATCCCCGACCCCAGCCCCAACCTTGGTTTGAGTAACAACCCCCGAACCCAGTTTGAGTCTATCGGGGATCTCCATCCCTGACCCCGGGACCCATTTTAGCGGGAAATCCTCGTTCCCGTTCGGGGTAGGGTGAGCCGGGTTCCGATCGAATCGAGGCAAATCACCATCCTTAAATACGTTCCTTCAAATTTTAATTATATTTTTCCAATTTATAGACGATTAACGTACTTTTTAAAAATGTTTTTTCAAAATAAAAATAAATGCCTTTTATATATAAATTTACCTTTTAAATAAAAGTAACTGGTTATCAGTTCTCTTTTAACCCACATTTCTTAACTTTTAAATACTGAGTTGGTTGAATACTTTGTTTAGATCTTATCCTGTTTATATTAAAATAATAACATAAATATGAAATGGCAGAAAATCATTTAATTGAAATTAAAGTTTTCGTATAACTAATTATAACTGAACGACTCTAAACCGAAAATGGACACAAAAGCTTTTATCAACACGGATTAAGGAAAAGATGGGTGTGGAAGTGAAATGAGTGGAAGTTGAAACATCAAATTCCATTTCCCCACTTCAAGTTGTCCATTCCCTCTAACACTAAATGCTTTTATTTTATTTTTCACAAATTAAAAGAATAATATTATATAATATTGACATATGATCGACCAGTTTATTTTCGTGAGAATTGTTAGATCACATAAATAATATTAAACCTTTACAGCAAAAGCACAGTAAAAGTCTGACGATGTTTTTGTTGTGAAAGTTTAGTATTTTTTGTAATTTTAATAAGGTTGTTTTCGTGAGACACGATTTTTATACTTGAAATTTCACAGCGAAACACTATGAAGGTAACATTCACAGTGTTTTTGCTGTGAAGGTTCGGATTGTTTTATCTTCACAATATTTTGTTGTGAAATTTCAAGTGTAAAAATGTATTTTCATGGGTTTCATGAAAACATGTTGGTCTCACATAAATCCAACCATATAAAATAAAAAGTAAAAACCCTCTAAAATAATGCATTTAACCCTAAGATTTCATTTTTTATAGACAAACTAGAAAGGTTCTCGTGCAATGTAACGAGATACATCTCGATTTTAATGTTTCGTTTTATTTTGTCTCATTTCGATGTTATAATACGGTTTTATGTGGTTTTGAGAACAACGATAATGTTTTTTATTTTTGAATAAAATATAAATTTGGAGAAATCTTAAAAATTAAAAAAAAAACATATCGATATTAGTATCAAATTAACTATTTAAAAGTTCTTGTTTTGTCGTGTAATTTCTTCAATTCAATTTTTTTTTTAATTTAATTTAGGTTTAATAAGAAAGTAATTTATTTTTAATTTAATAATATAATTTTTTATAAAGATAATAATTAAATATCTGTTAGAAGACAATAATTATCTTAACTATATTTTAGATTTTTTATATTTAAAATGAAATGTTTATCCAATATTTGATTATGTTTGTTTGTAGTCAGTTACACGAATTCAAGTATAAAGCTTTAATAAGTTGTACTTATGCATTATTTGCTTGTAATCTTGAATTTCAAGTAACATACATTAATAAACAGAACTTCATATATAAGAAATAGTTTTTAAGAATTTTTGTCAAATGCTTTATAATATAGTATAGATAGATACATTAAAAAACAAATAAATAATATCTCTCACCTTAATATTGAGTTTTAAAGATTTATTCAAATTTATAGATTAATTATTTTTTTATTTTTTTTCTTTATTTCAGATAACGCTTCAGAATAAATAATCTCTAAAATCTTTATTTTTGGGCTTATAACGGGGTTAGCCAAAAAAACCAAGAACAAACGGATTAGTTCGCGGTACATATAATGACGATATTATTTATACGAGATTTTTATTTGTTTTTTAAATCTTTTTTACAAAATTATTTTAAAATTAAACCAAAATACATGAATATTCCGAACGGGTCAGATACGAAAGAACCCATGACTTGTAGGTATTCGGATACGTCACCATGTACCTTTATTTTTCTCGGCATACGCACGAATAGTCAGGGCTAGCTACAAAAAATTTCGGGTTTCAATCCTCGAACCCAAATCGGGCTTGTTATGGATTTGAAAACTTCAGCTGCAGAAAAGAAAGTTGATTTAGAAAATTGACCAATCTACCGATCAAATCAGTATCTTCCACTTGAAAGTAGAATCTGAACACTAAGATGCAAACAATGACCAATCAACCACAAGGCATGGATGCATATGAAAGTTTACAATGGAGAGATATCTAAATATATGGTTTTATGATAGGAGAAAATACATCAAAATGCAACAAAGTTTCAAAATTTCCTATTTTGACCGACAACTTGTTGATTTTGTAACATTTGATATATGAATACACTTTTACGACAGGATTAGGGTGAAGTGGATGATAAACTTGACATACATGTCATCAAATGTTACAAGATGAACTAGTTACTGGCCAAAAATGGTAAAAAAATAGATAAATTGAGACTTTGTTACATTAAATAAGAAAACTTGAAACTTTACCATATTGATTGGAAAGAAAAATTCTTTGTTACACATAATAAGAATTAAAGCAAAATTCATTGCATTTTGCCTTCTTTTGAAGCTCCCGTTAACACTACAGAGTTATTGCAGATCATAAATCAAACCAAACAAACCCAATCTTTCACTTGAAAAAGAGGGGTGAAATGTATGGAGATCGGTCCTTTATCCCAAAAGACAGAGTCATTGTAAATCATCTAAGTATCAATTCCGGTACAAGCAACTAGTTTTCTCATACCTTGGTTTTATGAAGTGATGCCCATCCAAGGACGTCGAGTGTGATTGCATATGATTTATAAGGTCCTATGGTAGTCGTAAACCTGAAAACACTCGACGAAATAACGAAAATACAGAAAGCGCTCGTTGTTAGCTTTTGTTTGCGAAGAAAAAAGGCTACACAGAGAGCACCAAGACTTGCTCTCGAGTGGTGCCCACACTCGAGTGCATGTTTTAAAGCACAATTTGGTGACTGCCAACCAATAAAAACACCACACTCAAGAATCAATATGTGGTTCATAGAGATAGGGTTCAGAGTTAACAACTAGTGAGTTTGTGTACTCCTTCTGTCCCAAAATAAATGTGCACAATGAAAAAAGTACATAGTTTTAGCAATTTGTAACTAGCACACTTTTTTATTAACTAAATAACAATTTCACCCTTAATAATAAAAGAGTTGTCGATTTATCCATCTCATAATGAAGGATAGAATTGAAAATGCACGCACTTACTTTTAATAGTGGACACTTATTTTTAAGACAAACTAGAATAGAAAATGCGGATGCTTATTTTGAGACAGGGGAGTATCAAAAAATATGAACTCAAGCAAAGTACTATTGATGGGGACAAGAAGATCCATGGAAATCAAGTATTACTCCAAACCAAACTATGGTATGTCTGTTAGCAACTTAATTGGACTCGCATCTTATTTGGTTAGCTATATATGACTATTTGGTAATGGCTTAATGATATACAAAATGGCTTATTCAGTAAGCTTATGGGAGGAGCTTCCCCTAAATGAACCTAATAATCCCATACAATATGGGGTGTCGGGAGGATAAGATGTAAGCAGACATTTTCTCAATCGATCCCATGGAGTAGAGAGACTACCAAGCATTATTACTCCATATGTACTAAAACAGAGTCCATATTTTGACTTTCATTTTATAAACTACTTCAACCAATCAACAGAAATTTGCAATGTATGACTCTATAAGTATATACAATTCAATTCATGCTGCAAAAAGCCATGAGACATTCCAAAAAAAAATTGTTTTGCACACATTTGTTTTTTTTTAAATAGTTTTGCATAGCACGAGTCTTCACAAAAACAGTCTATCTACCCCTTCTCGTAAAGACAAAGTCTACAACCACAAGGATGGTGCCTGATTGGTTTGAGCTTGGCTCCAAAGGTCAAAAGTACCAGGAGGTCTCAGCCAAGGAGGAATAAAAATCCTCTTGTGGCCACGGAGGTTCAAATACAGTGACTCCGGGCTATCTGCAAAGCAGGGTAGTCGCCGTGGGATTAATCGGCTCACATAACGGGTTGGATATCCAGGTTAATAAAAAAAAAAAAAAAGACAAAGTCTACCATACATCCTACCCATAGACCATTGGATTTACTTGGTTCATTTGGTTTGGTCTTTTCTGTCTACAACTTCCAAGATCTAAAGTCATGAACTATATACAAAATCAACATACAACATAACTCCAAGCTACTTAAATCCTTGCAAAGCCATAAAAAACATACTGAAAATACTA